CCATTTTAGAGCTGGGTAAAATATTTTAATACAATGACATATATTATAGAATTGGACCACAGTTGAAGCAAAATTAAAAACTGCATCTAATATGGGGAAACATCAGAAACACAAAGAGGAAAAAAAGAATCAGGCACTGGTGTATCCCTTATACATATATCCTTTTTATACAATGCTGAGAGCCTATGCTTTTCAATACCAGCCAGATGCTGTTAGTATTCAAATGCATAATTGCATTGACTTTAGGGCTAGGGACAGAAATGACACATAAACTGGTATAAGTGATCAGAAACCGGTTCAAATCTGTAACACAACAGAAGTTCAGTGCACATAAACTGCTTTCAAAGTGGTCCAAACCAGTTAAGATAAACTGGGATGGATGTAGTATCAGACTTAACTGATTTAGGTTAAATCAGTTTATTGAACTTCTGTCCCAGATCCCCCCCTAGATTCAAATTAAGTCACAGTCCCCCAGCCTCCTAGAATGCTTTGTGCCTCCCTCATAAGCCCCTTTCGCAGGGTGGGTGGGCTAACCTTGGCCCAAATTGTCTGCCCCAGCCAAGCAGGAAGGCATGTTCTAGCACTTCTGGTGTGTGGCCTGACCCACTGTAGGCATGTGGCTGCATTTCTGGAATCAAAAGTGAATGTCTGTTCACTTGCTTATTGCTTCAGTCTATGCAGCTTAGACTAACTTGCAAAGATTGAATTAATTCTCACTTACATTGACAAACTCTACTTGTCTCAAGAGGTCTATGGGCCAGCAAGAGGTAAGGCACTCCTAAATCTGTTACTGGCCAAAGGGGATTATCTAGTGAGTGGCCTGTGAATCGAAGGGAAGCTGGGAGATAGTTATCATGAGTTGATCACTTTCTCTATCCATCGCAAAGCTGGCGAATCAGTCAGCAACGCAGAAATCCTTGATTTTAGGAAAGCCAACTTTCATAAGCTCAGGAGGCTGGTTGTCAAGGCCCTGAAAAACCAGGATCTGATAGAGAGGGGAATCCATGATGACTTATCACTCCTTAAGGACATGATCTTCAAAGCACAAGGGAAGCCCATTCCAGCCTGCAGGAAAGGAAGCAAAAGGGCTGGGCAACCCCCGTGGCTCAGTAGGGGACTTATGGAACTCCCTTATCTGGAAAGAGAAGCCTATAAGGAACGGGAGTCAGGTAACATCACCAAGGAGGAGTATTCAGCACTGGCCCGCACCTGGAAGGAGCAAACTAGGAAAGCGAAGGCTGGAACTGAACTCAAACTGGCTACGGGAATCAAGGACAATAAAAGGTCCTTCTTCAAATACATGGGTAGTCAGAAGAAAAACAAGGGCAACATTGGACTCTTGCTCAACCATATGGGGCAGATGACAACCAACACCCAGGAAAAAGCTTATCTTCTTAATGATTGCATTGTGTCAGTCTTACAGCAGCCCAAGGGGATCACCCTGCCTAACAAAATGCAGGATTGTCAGGGTACGGACAAATACACGCCCATCATTGGCAAAGATCTCATGAGGGAATACCTTGAGAGGCTGGACATTCACAAATCAGCTGGCCTGCATGGAATGCAACCAGTAGTGCTAAAGGAACTGACTGGCATCATAGTGCGGCCAATGGCGAAAATATTTGAGAACTCATGGCACTAGGGAGAGGTTCCTGAAGATTGGAAGAGGGCCAATGTGGTGCTTATCTTCAAGAAAGGGAGGAAGAAAGATCCACAGAACTACAGGCCAATCAGTTTGAACTCAATCCCTGGTAAGATATTGGAAAAAATCATCAAAGAACCCATTAACAACAAGCTAACGGAATGCAACATTCTGCGAGATAGCCAACATGGCTTTATTGCGGGTTGGTCCTGCCTAACCAACCTCGTTTCCTTCTATGACCAGCTGATGCATCACCTGGACAAAGGAGAAGAGGTTGACATAATCTATTCAGACTTCAAAAAAGTCTTTGATTTGGTCTTCCATGAAGTCCTCATGGTAAAACTGGGGAACTGTGGCCTTGACAACGTCACGGTCCAGGGGCTAGGGAACTGGCTCTGTGGTAGGACTCAGAGTGATAGTCAGTGGAACTGTGTCAGCATGATACATGGTGACCAGTGGCATCCCCTAGGGCTCCGTACTTGGGCTAGTACTCTTTAATATATTTATAAATGATCTGGATTCAGGTATTTGAAGTGGACTGGCTAAATTCACGGATAACACCAAATTAGGGGGAAGTGTGGTCACACTAGAGTAGGGTTCCCAGCATTTATGTGTCCAAGGGCACATTCAAATTGAAAAGAAAAAGCAGCAGGCACCACTATGAATATTAAAGTTTAGGATTTTTTGTTGGAATAACCCACATCATATTTATAGGCTTGGCAGTGCTACACTCACCGTGACCAAAGGAGACTTGGGAGTCATGATTGACCACAAGATAAACATGAGCCACCAATGTGATGCTGCAGCTGGCAAAGCAAATGAAACCCTGCATCTCAAGCAAGACCCAGAAAGTTGTCCTCCCACTTTTCTCAGCCCTGGTGAGGCTGCAGCTGGAATACTGCATCCAGTTCTGGGCTCCACACTTTAGAAAGGATTTGGAGAAGCTTGAGAGGGTCCAGAGGAGAGCCACATGCATGATTAGAGGACAAGAGAACAGGCCTTATGAGGAGAGGCTGAGAGCCATGGGACTAGGAGCAAAGGCTCAGGGATGACTTGGTGGCAGCCTATAAGTATATAAGGGGTGTGCATCAGGACCTGGGAGAACATCTGTTCACCAGGGCACCTCAATGGGAAGATAAGGTCTAATGGTCACAAACCCTGGGAAAACCGTTTTAGTCTGGACATAAGAAAACAATACTGTCTGTGTCCCCAGAGGCTGAAATTCTCAGAAATAGCCCCCCCACACACAGAAGTGGTGTAAGCAGCTACTCTGGACACTTTCAAGAAACACTTGGATGCCTGTCCTGCTGGGATCATTTGACCCCAGCTGACTTTGTGCCCCTTGGGCAGGGGGATGGACCCAATGATCTTGCAAGGTCCCTTCCAACCCTAATGTCTATGAAACCTGTGAATTCAGCCTTGGGCTTTTTGACTGTCTGTACTTAGCCAATAGGTATTTGCTTGTCATTGTACCACCAGAGTGCTTAGGTCTCTGTCATGTATAGTGTGAAATATAGTTCTTAAGATCTATAAGGTAGAGAAAATAAAACTGGAGGGGCAAGAAAAATTGGGGAAAGAAAGTCTCATCTCAAGGCATGCATCATAGTAAATATTATCCTTATGTATTATAAGAATCTAAGTTAACTAGAGCTGATGTACATACTAGTCAACTGCATGTGATTTTTTTGTTTTTTACAGTGGAACATAACCTTTACTCTCAATAACTCTCTTGACCTTTTCTTAAAAGTATTGACTTTATGGGATCTTTTATGTTCATTAGTGATTTAGCATTCTAACCTTTATGCATATAATATTGCACATCCATTGTATGTTTAATTATGCTTGCCCTAATCCAAAAGTTTTTATTGTGCTAAGCTGCTGTCAGAGAATACTGAATAATTTTAAATAATCCAATTGAAGTAAGAATAATTATATATCACATTTGGTTTGGATAGGTATGATTCTGCTTCAAGCAGGGGGTTGGTCTAGAAATGACTCTGGAGATCCCTTCAAGCCCTACTTCTTTATGATTCTCTGTGATTCACTTACAACACTGTACATTTGTGACTGTACATTGCATTGGTGACTAGGAGACGAAACTGTAAAGATTATTCATTTTACAAATTCGTTGGGGTTAGTAGGTTAGGAGGGAAAGACTATCTTGGGTTGTGTCCATACAGTAAATTTACCATACATCAAAATATCATCCTGAGGCATGCTGTTCTGCAGTGTAAGAACTACCTTTTAAACAAGAACTCATACAGCCTTATCCCTCAGGTTACACTGTTTTAGGAAGCAGTCTGCTCAGAAAAGTGTAACATGTTTGAAAATGGCATTTTGGAGCAGTTTACTATACAGTCATAGCCTTACTGCATTATGTTTTTTAGTCTGTGATTCACTTTAAATTCCTGGTAGCTTCTCTACTCATGAATGAGAGGAGTTTAATTTTCCCAATTCTGTTTGGAGGTATGTGCATATACACACAGCCCTAACCCTCTCAGCAGAAAGCAGGGTGACTGACTTGGTATCAGGTTAGGACAAATCTAGAAATGATCAGAATTCTAGCTTGTTGGATTTACCACACTAATTTATATTGCCTTTAGCATACTGCGCTTGATTCGGTATTCACTTACTTGTATATAAAAGTTTCTGCAGTGCCTGAAAAGTTGATTTTCTTTTAGATAAATTCTAAATCTGAATTGTATAAAAATTGCTCTGTCTATATATTCAAAATGATTTTCTTGCTCTCAGCTCTTTTCTGCCAGTGTGGGTAGTTAGAATAAGTAATATTGTATGCTATATAAATACAAATGAAAATGATGAAAGGTTTCCTCCAACTGTCTCTAAGCTTTCTCACTTGGAGAAACTTAACAGTATCTTGGTTAACATTGGGCTCTGTCCGACTCCCATTCATGTGAACAAAAAAGCGCCTCAACTTCTGTGAGAGTTGGATCAGACCCACTATGTTGACTTGACTATAGTTTTTAATGCTTATTCCTTATTTCCATATGCAGAGATTGAGTGCTTTTGCGTACAAATATTCTAAAGTCCACTTTCTAATTTCTGTTCAATAATTTTCACGTATGATGCAGATAATATTTCATAGGACTGTTTGTGCAACTGCCTGCTTTTCTAATGTCCTTGCCATGGTCTGTTACAGATTTGAATATATTGAAATTAAAAACCTCCTTTTTATTAAAAGTTGTTTACTATAAAATTGCTGAGTTTTATAAATTTATACATGCGAGAAAACCATCTACCATATGCTTTGGTCTTGCTATATACTTATTGGCTAATTGTGGATCCTGCTAAACACTGGCGCTTTTATAATAGTTGTGATTTATCTCTTTCTAGGTGAGCAAGAAAATGTAGTGGAACAGAAGCAAGGAAGAGCCTCAAGCGGTGGAACAGGGGGTTCTCTCTGCTTGGGATTTCACCCTCCCTGTCAACACTGTCTCACAATGTCAAAGAAGGGTGCCAGTATCCGAGCTAAGGGAGAAAAGCCTGATGCCTTAGCTGCCTTACAAGCTGCCAATGAAGAGCTCAGGGCAAAACTCACAGACATTCAAATTGAGCTCCAACAAGAAAAGAGTAAGGTGTGCATCTTTTTTTTTCCCCCCCACTAACTACTAAATGACAATCTGTTATTTCTTGTTCCTTAAGCACTTCCCCCTGTAAGCCTCCAAGTAATGGTGAGTTAGATTTCTGTCCACAGGATAACATTTTTTTCATGTACAGAATCTGAAGTCCTGGTAAAGCAACCATGCACTATGGTGCATTTTGATAGATGACCTTCTGTTGCACTCTTCAGAACAAAATTAGGAATGTCTGTGAAAATTAAATACAAGCTTTGCCCCAAATTTCAATAGTGTGTAATGCTGAAAATTCATGTTAGGAAGTTTCCTGTGATAAGGTACAGTAAACTTGACTGGAAAAAAATCTTTTTAGAATGAAACCTGCAAGTTATATTTGACACACACTACTTTTGCACAAACTCTTGATGAATTATTTACAATGTCTCTAATTGGCCCCTCGGGTGGCAGAGACAGCTGGATTGTCAGCAGGCACCATACACAAAAAATGCCTGCCAGGAAATGAAGAGACTGGCATAAATCTGTTAAAGGTAGACATCAAACAAGCAGGCATGGCAATTTAGGTTCAGGGCAAATTTCTTTTTTAATTCTATGCCCTACTGCCAAATTAGACTAAATAGTCATGTGTTTAGGAGAATAAGCCTTAGTTTTATTTTCAGAATGATTCATTGAATGGGGTTGGTGATAGGGCAGGGGCTGGCAAATATCTTTTGCACCTTAACAGACTTTTGAAAGATTTTGTCTGAAAGCAAATTGCTAAAATATGTATTACCTGGTACTCTTACTAACCTTACTAATCTTCTGGAAGAGGCAGCCAGATAAGCCCATGACTACATGGCTTAAAAGGTTAGCACATATTACACTGAAATGCAGCTATTGCAAGTTGTTGAGGGGTGGGGAGGTATTCTACTGATTCTGTTTTTTTGGTAGAAAAACAATAAATAAGGATCTTGAATATCTTGGCAGTCAGTGACTCAGCAGCAGGCTGAATACTTGTTTTTGTGATAGAAGAAAAATGAAGTTGAAAAACGTTATAGCTAAGTGCCAGCAAAAGATTCCTAGAAAAATAAGCTTCTATCCCAAAATAGACAGATGGTATGTTCATAGCAAGAGGCTGCCCAACCCTTTTGTTTCCTCTCATGAAGACTTTTTCACTAAACACTGAGGTGTTTTTCCTCCTTATCATGGACAATTTGTATGGTACAGAGCTTATCCTTTACTTTTTCACAATTCTGTAAATTGTGCCTGGGCATTGTATGCACAACCCATTAGATGGTTGTGTGTAATTAGTCCAGACACAATGATCATAGTGATCTTAAAATCCGACTTGGATTTCTAATTCCAATTTCTAGACTTTGGGGGTGTTCTGAGTATAGATTGTCTACTCTCATTGATTATTATATATTTCTTTCATCTAGGAAGTCTAGTGAGTTGATATGGTAATTTTGAACAGAACTATGGTGTGGCCCTTTGGTGCTCAAAGAATTTAGTAATGAAATATGCATGACTGTGACTGTGTATGGGAATATTGACAGTTATGTGCTCAGAAATAACTAACACACAACTAAAACGGCTTGGATCTGGAGTTCTCAGATTAATGCACTCCTGACTAGAGCTTCTGGTTTATTGTATATTCTTTCTGATGTGCCATGAGAATTTTACTTCCTAATCAAGTACCCACAAAAGTTGGAAAGAAGGGGCTTTGGTTTAAACACTGGTGTACCGTCTAAATGTTTAACACTTCAGACGCTAGCCAGTGTCTAAGGCAGGGCTGTCAAACATATGGTCTTCAGGCTGAATCCAGCTCCTGGAGCAGTATGATCCATCTAAAATGTCCATTTTAGTTAGTCCGCTTAGTTATGATCGGATGAACTGCACAGGGCTTAGGTTTCTTCTTAGACAAAGTGTGACTTGAAACTGCGCAGAGCATTCTCAGTGGGCATGTCTACACAAAATGCTTACTGCGCATTAGCCTAATAACATTGTGCAGTAGCGTGTCGAAGCAAAAAACATGCTAATAGCCTACTGCGCAGTGTTATTAGGCTAGTGTGCAGTAAGGCTCTAAGTAACCATGCCTTGGCACTACTGCGCAGTAACTCTAGGTTCTGCACATTTAGTTAGTACTTTATTAAGGAAGTACTAAACTAAACGCACAGTATCTAAAGTGTATTAAGAAATGTGTGGATGCACCCAGTAGATGCTAGACTTCTCAGCTCTTGAAATTTCTTCCTGAACTTCCCTATGATACTAGTCTGACTGTCAGCATGGTACAAAGCATGCTTATCTAGGACATCTAGAAGAAAAAAAGCTGAGAAAGATGCTGGAGTAAATAAGAGCTCATATGTTTTGAGTATGGGTGCACCAGAATCCATCTATTTAGATCTGTTGTGTGAATACTTCGAATGTAAACTGTTAACACTCGGAGCACTAGATAAGCGTGCTGTTATGAAATGCAATACACAAAATTTCTGGTTTTGCAGCTGATATGGGGAGTGTGTGAACAAACTGAGTGTGGGGGGTTGTAAATTGGTCAAGTCACTTCCTGTCTATGCCCTTCCATTTACTTGTCTAAACAATGAAGATGACACAGTAAGATTTACCTGCATAATTATATTGTATTAAGTAATGTTTATAAAATACTTCAGAATATGTGGATGAAAGTTTCAGAAGTCCACATGGGACATTCATTTATTTATTTAATTGTGAAAAGATCAAACCAAAATCAATGGTGGCTTTTCAACTTTTATCTTTGTTATTGATCTTTTACAAAGTGCTGTTAATTTCTTTGCTTCTCTTTTTCTGAGCCTAATTATGTTTCAGGTTGTATTGACCTTTAGAGAAGCTTGGTCTTTTCCATTGGCTTATTGAAGTGAGTCTCTCTTCATGAATTATTTTCTCCTTGGAGAAATTATCTCTCTCTGTAATGCCCCATGGCTATTTCTGTACATCTGTGGTATGGAAATTTGTAATGTTTAAAACTATCTAATTTGTGAGCCATTTTTAGGGTTATTATTAGCAAGAAACCTAATTATGTCAATTTGGGATTGAAACAGAGTATTTAATGTGCAGCACTGAATGGGACATGGTATTTTGTAATCAAAGAAATATTTTTAGTGTTCTGTATTTTATTATAATTAAATACTATAACATCCTCTCTTTCTTCTCATAGGAGCTACATCTTGTATAATAGTTTATTTCAGGATAGAGACAGAGACACCAGTAAACTTTGTACATTTTGCATAATTTTGGCATTTGGAAAATATATGCCAAATGCTGTGGTACTGGTCTTGCCTATGTAGCTTTCAGGTTATTCATGGATACTTTTTTCAATAGAAAAAAACCATACTTTTGAAGCTGAAACTTCATTATTCTCAATGTAATTGTTGCAAAAAAGAAACAAGTTTTCATATTATCCAAAAGCTTTTGGTGTCTGACCTAAGTACCACTGAGACAGCAAAAAAAATGTTTGAAGAGACTAATATACCCTTCATACACATACCAATGTACCACTTAGCTTGATGCTGTGGAGACATTTTATGCTGACTGGAGTTATATAACTAATGTATAAGTACTTGGAGGCACAATGGTCTCAATCCATTTGAAAGAAAACAACATACAGGGCAATATTGGCTCCTCATCAAGTATGTAATATATTATAGGATGATCCAAACATCATAAAGCAAGGTTTCTGTAGCCTTCCTTTGTAATAATCTCACTTTCAGAAATGTTTGCTGCATTTTCATCAGCAAAACTTGTTTGGACTTCAATGGGAACAAATTTGTGATTTACTGTAGTTGTGGCTAAAGATTACAATATGCTTAGAAGTTACTCTTGAGCTTTGACATGCTGATACCAAACCCATAAATATCAGCTAAAATAATCCCATGGATTCCACTGATGTTTGGCTCAGACCTTATTTTCTCTGTTTATTTACACATTTTGAAAAATATTGGAGTGCCAGGAAACATTGCTTATCCACACCTCTTGCAGCATTGTAAATGCATGTGACTATTTTTTACCCTTAAATGAGTTTTGAATTTTAAACCCTGGCTGTTAACTAAAAGTTCCAAATAAAACAGAGTGCCAAATTTAGTTAATAAATAGCCAGTAAATGTCACAGAAAACCTATTTGTTTGTTTCTTAATGAATCACTGGTGTGTGTGTCTAATCACTACTACTTATTTCTCTGAAACATTGCAGCATTTCCTGACAGTTGCATAAATGAGGGGAGGTGAATAGGGTAGCAGCCCCTGACACTGCCTTTGTGGGAGGATACAAAAGCAGCTGTTGCTGGAGCAGCAGCTGATTATGCTGCTGCAATTGGACATGGCAGGGGCCAGCACTGCCCCAGATGCCATAAAATCAGAGCTGTGCTGCTACGCCTGTTTCCTGAATATCTACTGAGACAATTAACACTTGAAAAAAATTGATTAACATTTTGCGCAGACTGGACAATTGGGAAAATATTTTTGTGAAATGAAAATATACATTGTGAAGGAAAAGTACATGTTTTACAACTCTTCTGTATAACAGGCTTTCAAAACTACAGTATGACATCCTTTATGAAAAATAAAACAGTAAAACCTTTAACAGTTTCATAGTTTATTTGAATGCATTTAAAACTAGTTGTATTGTATATCTGGGCATCATTTGTTTGAGCTTTGCACTGCCATATCTTCTTCCATACAACATGCTTCAAAATATAATGCACATGTCATTTTTGAATGGCAGAATGAAATAGAGAAGATTTTTCCAGTTATGGCTGGGCTGTGAGTGGTCACTTAATGAGTTACTATAGGCAGGCTGGGGTCATATCTTTTGCTGTCTGAGTCATCAGGCTAAGCATTGAGGTTGTATTATGATTAGGGCAGGTGATAGATCAGAGCTGAGATGTCCAAATACAGCAGGGGCAGGGGCAGGGGC